GACCAAGGCAGGCGCCAAACCACTGAACCATCCAGGGATTCCCCCTTAAACATCTTTCAAGGCCATTCCATCCTTCCCATCCCCTTGTCTGCCACAAATCAGCCCATCCTCACCTCCCAGCTTCATTTTACCCTCTCTCAAATCAACCCTCCACATGGCTGTCAGAGTGGTCTTTCTAGTGATTGTTCTGAGTGCAGATTTGACCCATGTTTAAAACTTGTAATAAACCCAAACCACCTGAATCCCAGGATGAAACCCGAAACCCTTAACTGGACCCACGAAGCACCAGGCCATCTGGCCCCGCCTGCTAGCCTGGCTCCCAGTCTCATTCCTCCCTCCTGGGCCACACTTCAAAGTGCTGGACTCTTCCGAGTCCCGGGGTCCTCACAGGTACTGTTCCCTCCGCGTGGAAGACCACCCCCCCAGGCTGTGCGGTGGCCCAGGCCTCCTGGCCATTAGGTCTCAACTGCAATGTCACATCTCACAGAGTTTTCCCTGGTCCTCTTTAGCTTCCCTCTCACTCAGAACTTGCTGTCCTGCCCTCACACCGCTTGCCACCATCTTCTAGAGCTCGTGTGTCTGTGGGCTTGGCTGGTTCATCTCTGTCACTGTCAGAGCCTGCGCATAAGGACTGCCAATCACAGCTGTACCCCTACACCCAGCCCAGGGCCCGACATAAAAGTCGAGGCCCAATGACTATTTGTGGAACAAATCATCCTTTCATCTAAGCTTCTCAGAACCCCAATCCCATTGCTCTCATCTCTGGCCTTTGCAGTTGCTTCCCCTTCCGGGAAGGTTCCTTCCTTCCCCTCCCACCTGGGCTGATCCTCTTATCACAGGACCGATTTCTTTGCTGAGTCCTCAGCCTCCTCATTTGAATTAGGATTTCTCTCTGGGCTCCCCTGTCCCCTGTACATAGCACTCCATCATGACATTTTAAACTTGCAAACTGCCAGGTAAACATGAGAGATTGTTAACAATCATGATCTGCTGCGATGTCCCCCGCCCCACCCCAGACTTCTTGGCTCCAGCTGGCTCAGGAGCATCCACTCTCTGCCTTTCAAAGCATCAGGAACCCCATTTCCCATCCATTCGATAAGCACTGGTCAGGCACCTCCTGTGCTGTTGGCTTTCCTGCAGCACTGGGTGGGGGGACGGAGGAGGAGAAGAAGGCAGACAGGCTCCTTCCCCAGGGGAGACAGAAGCAGGTGGAAGAGGAGGTGCTAAGCAAATGCCTACTGTGGCCAGCAGCCAGCGTGCACGGGGAGGCACGGAGGAGGCTGGGGGCTGAGGGGCAGGCCTCGTGCATTGGGTTCTGCCCCTGCACTGAGCAGCTGCCCTCTGCCGGGCATGGAGGGGGGGAGCCTTGGGGACGATGATGACGAGGAAAGGTTTGCCTGAATGGCAGATGTGCAGGAGTGGGGCCTATGTCCTGCAAGCTGTGCACAGAGTTCACAGTATTTGGGGTCTGTGGTCTCCCTTCCCATCCTGGGAGCAGTTAGAGGCACCAAGGTGGGGTACGGTTACCAGAGGAATCTCAGCCAAAACCAGCGGTCACTTTTCTGTCTCTCCCTTGCCAGGCCGCCCTGTTCCTTTGAGCCGCTGCTGCGCATCCCCTCTTTCCGGACCTCCCCACCCACCAGAGCTCATCAGAGTCCAGAGGTAACCTCCACTGGCATCACCTGGGAACTGGGTCGGGGCTTATAAAAATACATGGTATTGGGCTCCCAGCTTCTGAAAGGCTCCCTGGGGTAGGATCCTAGGATCTGCAGGTGTTGCAAGAACCCTCACTCTGCTTGGCACACTCAACTGTGAGAACCCCAGCGCTGCTGCCACTTCCGAGACCAGTCGGCCTGCCTTTCTTGCCTCTGGCCGTCAGGCCCTTGCTGGGGTCCTTTAGGGGCTGTTCTTCCCTCTGCCCATCCCTTAAATGACAGGGTGCCTGAGGCTCCCATCCAAGCCCCTTGTGCCTCTTGTATATCCGCCCCTCCTGCACCCCAGGTTAGACTTCATTTGGCCCTTGGGTGACCAGCAGCACCCAGACTTGAGATGACCAAAGCTGACCCCCTCACCCTTTCAGTTCACCTCAGCAAGCATCCTGCCTTCCTGCCCATGCCAGAAACTTGGGTATCATACTCGACTCCCTTTCTCCCTTCCTCTCTCGTCTCAGCAACAACCACATCCAGATTATTTTGCCTCCTAAAGATGTCCTCTGCAGTCCTCTCTGTCCTCAGACCTTTGCCTTAATCCCCTAACTGGTTCCCTCCCCTTCCTTCCCTTTCTCTCCCTCTAGTCTCTCCTCTCTCTGGTGAAGAGAGAGGAGCTTTCCAAAATGCAATCCTACTATAATCACCAGCCCCCTAAAAACCCTTCCAAAGTCCTAACCCATGACCCGACACACTGAGAGCCTCCCGCTCCAGCCTCTTCTCCTCCCCTCCACACCTCAGTAACAACGCACAGCTTCTGCTTCCAACCTCCTACCTCTGACCAGTCAGTGCCCTCTTGCTTGGCTGACTCTTCCTCACAACCTCGGCACCACCTCCTCCAGGAGGCCACCCCTGACCCTCCTGGACCCTGCCCGCACCAGACTTGGTGCATCCATAATGCCTGTTACAGGGATCCGTTATTCTGCTCACCACACTGAATTATAATCATCGATTTCCATCTCGGTTGCTCGCTAGCCAGTGAGATCCTGGAGGGCAGGGACGGCGTCCCATTCATCTCTGTATCCCAGACCCTGCCTGCCACCTGGCACTGAAGCCAGGCTCAGCTAGTGCTTGACAGGTGAATGCAGAGGGGGCGCTCGAAGGAAGTGAGCGCCAGAAATGGCCGAGAGGGCAGGGAGGGCAAGCCTGGCAGGAGGCGCAGCCAGAGCAAATGTGTGGGAAGTAGAAAAGCAAGAACTTCCCTTTATTGCACTCCCACGACTGCCCGCCAGCCACTGTACCTGAGCTTTGTTTGCACATTTTGTCTCTTTTAGTTCTTGCAACAACAGATCAGGATACTGGCATCAGAGAACCAAGGCAACCTGCCCAAGGTCACACAGCCAGGCCTGGAGTGGAATCCAGGATTGTCTGGCCTGAAAACCTGTGCTCGTCCTCCCGGGTATAGGACCTTCTGGGGATGGACAGGGAGTGGGCCCGGCTCCGCCTCTCCCTAGCTGAGCACCGGAACCAGCTGCCCACGCTCAGGCCGACAGCTTCTCCCTCCCAGCCTGACCAGAGGCTCAGAGGCCAGACAAGGATTCATCTGTTCCTTCTTCCCCTGACTTTGGGGGTCTTTGAGAGACATGCACAGACCACCCCCCACCCCACCAGGGAAGGGTGCTGCCTCCTGGCGCTGCCCAGGGCACCTGAAGAATGAAGGGGGCTCTGCGATGCTGTTTGGGTTCTGCAGAATCTGTCTCCCTCATCGCACTTGGCCCAGGCTGATATTAAGATTCATCTGCATTCCCCGCGCACCCGCCTGGCAGATGGTGGGGGAGGAGGCTGGGTGCGTGCTGGGGGCTGCAGCCAGAGACCAAGCCGGGCCTGGAGGGCCACAGAGCAGAGTGCCCACCCAGCGTGCTCCCTGGGCCTGGCCCAGGCTGGGGCCGCTCCAACTGCTGGGGTACCTCCTCACCCTCACAGCCTCCAGGGGTGCTAGGACTTGACCTTTGCTTTTTCTAAGGACTAAGAGGGTCCTGGAATTCCAGCAAGGAAACACAGATATGAGTGGGATGATGGAGGACAGGACCCCTCTACCCCTCCCCCTCTGCCCCCCCCCCCCCCCCCCCCGGCCTTTGGGGATTTCAGATCAGGGCCCTGCCCTTCCTCCTGGCCCTGGAGGTTTGCAGAGGTCAGAGATTACAAAGGACCCCTTGGGATAGGAGCACCGTGTCCCAGCCTGGTCAGTCCCTGGGTCCCAGGGAGGGTATGTAGTGAAAAGCACAGACACAGCTTTCAGGGAGACCTTACCTGCCTAGTCCTCAGCTTCTCACCCCAGCCCCAGAATTCAGCCTGGCCCCGAGTGACCTTTTCATCCAGGGCTCTGGCCAAAAGTTTCCCATCACAGTGATTGGACAGAGTGGTGGGGGCTGGTTATCGTAGCCCCTCTGAGTAAAGTAGAAGAGAAAGAAACTGACATTATATATAGCAAGGGAGCACAAGCTAGACATCTAGAAGAACTTCCCTCAGCACAAAAGCGAGTCTTGCAGAGACAGTGACTTTCAGCTGTGGGGATAGGCTACTCGTTATTGACGTGCTTTTTTGGCTGTTGGAATGGGTTTGGAAAAAATGACCTTTCCCAAGTCCAGGTCTCCTGGGGTGCAGGGTAGGGCAGCAGGTTCCCAATGCCCGCTGCGGAGGAACAGGCGCCTTGCCAGGGGGATGCAAAGGGTAGGGTCCCTATCCCAGGGCCACCGTCCATCCTCTCGCCTCCTCGCCGACACGTCCCCCGCCCCCGCGTCCTGCCCCCTTCGTCCTAGGTCCCCCGGCTGCAGGCCGGCAGGGGAGGAGTTAACTCCGGAGGTACCGGCTGGGCTCACCGTACCTGCCGCCGCCGCCGCCGCCGGTGGGAGGGACGAGGAAGCGGGAGCCGCCTGGGCGCCAGAGCGCTCCAGTCTGGCGGGGTGCTGCGCGGGGAGCGGGCGGCGGGGCTCGGCGCGGCCAGGGGCGTCCGCCAGGGGGCGCGCCGCGACGGGGCGGGAGGGGCCGTCTGGTCTGGGGAATTAGCGCCAGGGACGGGCGCGCGCGCGGGTCCCCAGCACATCTGGGCGAGAGCAGCGCCGCTGGACCGAGGGGGGCGCCGAGCGCAGATCTGGAGCGGCAGAGGCAGCGCGCGGCTGGGGCCCTTCGAGGCGCTCGGGGCGCACATCTGGGACCTCGAGAGGGGGCCGCGCCGCGCGCAGCTGGGCCCAGGGAGGGGGGCGGCGGCTGCACAGCTGGCCCGGAGGGGGCGGGGTCGGTCCCGGGCGACCGGCGGAGGGGAGGGCCGCGAGCAGCGGGGGACCGGAGCATGGGACGGCGCGCCTGAAGCAGCAGGGGCGAGGCAGGGGCCTGGGAGCCCGGCAGGAAAAGAGGAGAGAAAGGGGCCCGACAGCAAAGGAGGAAGATGCAACTGACTCGCTGCTGCTTCGTGTTCCTAGTGCAGGGCAGCCTCTATCTGGTGAGTGGCCCGCGGGGAGCTGCGCCGAGGGGCGGGGGCCCGGAGGACGGGGGAGAGCCCGGAAACTTTCTCCCTGCCCCCGACATCCCGGGGATGGAGGGGAAGCCCGGAGGCTGGGGGAGAGGGCGGGTCCGAGGAGCGAGACCGGACCGCAAGGGTTAATAGGGGCGGGGAGAGGGTGCTCGGCTGGCCCACCCACTCGGCCGCCGGCGGCGGGAGGTGCGACCAGCACGAGGGAAAAGGCCAGCCGCGGGGCGCCCAGGGTTACCCGACCGGGTCCCGGTGCCCCGGGACGCGCGGAAGGGGAGTGGGGTGGGTGGCGGGGCCGACCACCTGCCAGGTCTGCGGCCGCGGGCTCTTCCCCGACCGCGGGGACCCCGAGGGCCCGGGACCTGGGTCCCTCGGCGCGCGGAGCCTGTCCAGGCAGGGGGCGGCCCCGCGGCCCCCGCTCGCGCCTTCCCTCCCGCTCCCTCCCTCCCCGCCTGTTGTTTTCCTCTCCTCTCCCGGCTGCGCGCAGCCCGAGCCCCACAGGACCTGGGCAGGCGGCTCCCGCCCCGGGCGCCCGCGGCAGCTGAGCGGAGCGCCCAGAGCCCGCTCCCCGTGCGCTCGCTCGCCGCGTCCTGCCGCCCGGGACGCCCGGGACTCCCACCCCGGCCCCCCGCCGCGGGCTTCACTCCCCTCCGACCGCCCCCGCCCCCAGTCCTGCCGTAGAGAAGCCTCGGCCCCACATCTGGACCTGCCCGTTTCCTCAAAACAATAACCACCCGCTCTGTGCCACCTCCCCTTTGCCACAGTGGAAGCACCCTTCCCTTCTCGTATCCACACCTGCTGTCCCACTCCCCACCCTCCAGCCATTCAGCTGCGACCCCCGTGGCCAAGTAAACAAGGGTCTGCAGCCCCAGGTCCCAGTCCCCCTGGAACTCCCCCTCCTGGCTGCCCCTCTCTACCCTACCCCTGGGCCTAGCAGGCAGGGCCACCTAGCACATCTCTAAAGGCATAGCCAGGGCCGGGGTGGGGGGCATGAAGACCCCGGGGCCCCAGAGCCCTCCAGAGCCCAGCACTCAGGCATCCCCCTATCCTCATCCCAGGGGTCACCAGCAAACCTACAGGCTGCCCAGCTGTGAGCTGGTGCCCCTGGTGCTCTAACGCAGACACACAGGGGGGAGTACTCTCTTTAGAAGCTGAGTAAGCACACACCAGGCGGCTGCCCTCAGGAAACCTTGTCTACTCCCTGATGCCCTCCTGAGCTGTCCCGTGTCTGAGCTGGGTCACGCTGTCCTGCTGGCCCTCCCCACAGCTCCTCCAGGAGGCCTTCCCAGGTGTTGCCTGTTGCCATGGCTGATCCAGCAGATGCTGGCCAGGCCTTGGCAGTTTGGCAGAAGATTCCAGGTGGGGATGGAGCTTGGACAGAACCTCCATAAATGGACCTATGTGGTCCATGAGGCCAGAAGTGAGGGGTGAATCGGAGGGCTGACCCTCTGTGACTTAGCCTTCCTGGGATGTAACCTTTGAGTCCTGGTGGCCTCCTCTGTAGAACGGGCATAATAACAACTCCTGCCTCTTGGAGCAACGGTGTCGGGGCGTGTCATCATCGGTGATCCTCAGAGTTTTTGACCTTCCGTATCTTGGCCATCCTGGGTGTGGAATTCACTCCTGGGCTCCTCTTATTCCTTCTGCCAAACCCTAAACTGCATTTGCACATGGGAGAAAATGTCACTGGGTTCTATTAATTCTCTTAACCTCGGGGGATGAAATATCCTAGGATAAGGGGGGCGATGTCTCATCCCACAGACTAGGGAGTGCCAAAAAGCAGGGGCTGCCCTTCTCCTGTCAACCGGGGCTCTCCCAGCACAGGGATGGGGCTCTCCTATTCCACTCAGGGCTCCCTGAGGGCAGTAACTATGCCTCCGCATCGCCTTGTGAATTTCTCAGAGGCAGGGAATTTCCTCTGTGAAATCGTGACCTTATAACCTCTCCTGCGTCAGCACAGGGCTATGCTTCTGACATCAGCTGAGGACCATTCCCAAGATCCGAAGCTGGGCCTCCCCCATCAGACTGGAGACTCCCCAGGAGCAGGGGCTGTGTTTCTCTGGTGCCATGGCCCACGGGAGAGCATTCTCGACCATCTTTCCAGACTTGGAGTAGTGGCCAGAGGCAGGACAGTGGCGGGGAGGAGATGGAGGTGACCTGAATGTCACAAGGCGAGATGGGACCATGACACAAGCCAGAGTGTACACCCCCAGCCCCTAGCGTAAGTGGGTGATGTGCAGGGATCCGTCAGCCTCAGATCGGTAGAAGGGTCAGGCTGTTGGTGGGAAACAGCGACCAGAACTCCTGGGTCCTCAGGGACAGGGCTCTCACTCTCCTCCCAACTCCCCTCACAGGTCATCTATGGCCAGGATGATGGCCCTCCCGGCTCAGAGGACCCTGAGCGCGACGACCACGAGAGCCAGCCCCGGCCCCGGATGCCTCGGAAGCGGGGCCACATCTCACCTAAGTCCCGCCCCATGGCCAACTCCACCCTCCTAGGGCTGCTGGCTCCGCCTGGGGAGGCATGGGGGGTCCTTGGGCAGCCTCCCAATCGCCCAAACCTCAGCCCCCCACCTTCGGCCAAGGTGAAGAAAATCTTTGGCTGGGGTGACTTCTACTCCAACATCAAGACGGTGGCTCTGAACCTGCTCGTCACGGGGAAGATTGTGGACCACGGCAACGGGACCTTCAGCGTCCACTTCCGACACAACGCCACAGGCCAGGGCAATATCTCCATCAGCCTCGTGCCCCCCAGTAAAGCTGTAGAGTTCCACCAGGAGCAGCAGATCTTCATCGAAGCCAAGGCCTCCAAAATCTTCAACTGCCGGATGGAGTGGGAGAAGGTGGAAAGGGGCCGCCGGACCTCGCTCTGCACCCACGACCCAGCCAAGACCTGCTCCCGAGACCACGCTCAGAGCTCGGCCACCTGGAGCTGCTCCCAGCCCTTCAAAGTCGTCTGCGTCTACATCGCCTTCTACAGTACAGACTATAGGCTGGTCCAGAAGGTGTGCCCAGATTACAACTACCACAGCGATACTCCCTACTACCCCTCCGGGTGACCCTGGGCGGGCTGCAGAGGCCAGGCTGGGGCTGGAAGGACAGGCCTGCCCAATGGAGGAGGCCATCTGGCTGGACACTGGGCAGGGAAGGGACCGGGGGGATCTCAGGCAGCGAGGGTGGGTGGAGAGGAGGAGATGCCAAGTGGGGCCAGGGCCAAGTCGCAGGTGGTGGTGGGGAAGGGGTCCTGAGTGTTGGCCCCAGCCTGAGGTGGTGAAGCGACTGGGACACAAGAGCACTGGAGGAGGAGTGGGTTCTCTGGGCAGCCCCACGGGGCTTCCCCACCAAGCAACGGGAAGATGTTGGGTCCAGGAGGTCCCTGGGGAAGTCAGACCAGTGTGGCCCCAATAAAGTGATGGAGAGGAGCCTAAAGCCTTGGTTCCCTCTTTGCCATCCTGAGGAAGAACAGCAACAAAGAGAGGGGCGTTTCACCAGCGTGGACACCAAGTAGGCAACAAAGGATGGCAGAGATGGGGCTGCCTGGGCACCAGCTCTGGGTAGGGGGAGGGCCTCCCTGAGGCGGCCCCCCGTAAGCCCTTGACCTAGACTATGGACTGAGCTTGGCTTGAGGCTGAAGTGGTGACCCTTGAAGTCTTCTTGATGTCTTGACAAATAGACCATCTGTTCCCAGCCAGGCCATACCTTTCCAAGATTCTCTCTCCTGCCATTGCTGCCCACCCCCACACCCCGCTCACCCTTGTGCTGATGGGACACCCATCCTTAAGCTGAGACAGAGGGTGATTGTGGGTCTCCCAACACCAAGGCCACAGATGGAAGCCCACCCTTGCGCCGTGTCCCTCTGCTACGCCACCCCCTGCTGGCTCCTCTAGGAGTGTCCCTGTCCAGTGGGTGAGCCTTGCCTGTCTGCCTGGGGCTCACCTGGGTAGAACCAGCAGCTCCCCTCTTGGCCCATGGGGCTGGGGGCTGCCAGATGGTCAAGGGCGTGCTGGACCTGTTCCATGGTGTCTGTCTGTGGGTGGGGGAGGGGTGGGCGGGGTGTGACATCACCTGATTGTCGACTTCTGTGTGCAGAGTCTTGTTCTGGAACCGGGAATAAAGCTTTCCCAAGGCATTGGATTCCGAATTGTCTGGGGCAGGGAAGGGCCCTGGGTGCCCCACGTCCAGCCAGCCTTGCTCAGATGGCAGCAGGACATCTCCTGGAGACCAGAGCTGTGGGGCTCCCATAGCTGCTGGAGCTGCCACTCACTGACAGCTTTGGGGCTTCCCTCTCCAGCCCCTTTTCTGGAGCCTTCGGGAAGGCTGGGCAGACATTGCTTGGCATGCTCCTGGGTGTAGGGGGGCAGCGGCTGCAAAGCAGCGTGGGGAGGAAGAGCTAGTAGGTGGGATGGGCCATTGTATTCCTTGGCCTCCCTAGGCTATTATCTGGGTGGGCCCGGGGTGGGGGAACCTTGCTCTCGCCATCAGTATTTTGCTCCGTGGGCTCAGATTAAGTCCATTCTCTTCTCTGGGTCTCTTTCTGCTTCTTTGTAAACTGAGGAGCTTGCCACCCAGAGCTTCTCCAATGTGAGTGGGCATCTGAATCACTGGGAGCATCGTTTAACACATGCATTTCGGGGCCCCAGTTTCTAATTCAGTAGGGCTGGGGTGAGGTGCAAGGATTTGCCCTTCTGACAAGGACCCAGGGTGGATACTGATGCTCCTGGCCCAGGGACCACACTCTGAGGACCACTCACATGACCTCTGTGTTCCTCTCTGGCTCTGGCTCCCTAAGATGAAGAGACACCTCTGAGGCTCTCTCCCCACTGTGACTTCCAGCTGCTTCTCCTGGGGAAACCTCCTGGAAGGGTCCTTTCAGAGAATCGGAGTGTTGGTTTCTCAGTCTGGTGATGTGCTAGTACGGCAACAGGCCAGGTTGGGGGGAAGTGGGGACAGAAGGAGGCCTGGGAGCAGCCATTCTCCTGCCCCAGCCTATGGGAAGGCCTTGGGAAGGATGTCTGCCCGTGGCGCCTCGCCCAGGAGTCAGCTGGGCCCTTTGAGGCTCAGTGTGCGGAACACTGAGCCCCGGGTACCAAGATCACAATGCCCTCTCTAAGGTCATCTGAGGTCTGCTCACTTGGGGGGGGGGCAGCACTCAGGCCCCCTGGGTCCCTTTTGGCCACGCAGCCACAGCTAGGAGAGTCATAGCATGAAGGGAAGGTGGTCCTGCCACTCCTACCTTGTCTCCCCTGCCCACCAGCACTCAGCACAGTCCCCTTGCTCCTCTCGCTGCAGATTAGAGCTGGACGAGGCCTTAGAAGCCACCTTGCTTATGAAGTGACCCAGAAAGGGCACATGACTCAAGCTCACACTCCTGTTCCAGCTTTCCGCTGCATCGTGCCTCCTGGGGCCACCTCTCCTGAGCAGAGATTTGTGACACTCCTCCCACCCGGCCATGCCACTCTCTCCCTTCCCACCTTGGGACAGGTACTTGGAATTCAGGCAGGCCCAGGGGCTCAGGCCCCCCTGAGTGGGGGGCTCGGGGCTGCTGGAACCTGGGGAACTCTTACCTGTGGATGCGTCCCAAACACCACTGCCTCCCGCACCCTGTGGGCACCGGAGGAAGAGGAGGGCAGTGGTCCTGACCCTCCTCACCTGGTCTGGCTGAACTATTAGCAGGACCGGGGGATGCTCTGACCCACCCCCTCTGGCTCCTCTTTCGTGGAGAGCCAGATGCTGTGGACAGCTGGAGGGCTGGCCTGCCTGGCACACATTCCGTCTGAGCAGGGGATGGGTTCATTTTAATAACTTCATTTCACCCTCGCGCACACTCCACTGCCTCATCCCTCCTTTTCTGCCACACTAACCTGGCTGCTCTTCTCGGCTAGGATCTTGCTAATAGATTTTCTCCTGATTTGTAAGTCTTGTGGAATAGACCTTTGGGCCCTGATATTCTTGCCACCACCAGATATTTCCTATGCCCCGTGGTCCTCACAAAGGTGAGGGGTCTACACAACTGCCTCTCATCACTAGGGCACCAACCTCTGCCCCCTTGGTGAGCAATGTCTGTGACATCCTCCCCAGGGAGATGGATCCCCCCCCCCCCAGGCACTACATAAACTGCTGCTTGATCTTGCCAAACACTGGAGAGCAGAGTCCTCTGGAAGGAAAGCTCCAGAAAAGAAGCCCTAGGTCCTTCCCCTACCCAACCCTTTGGCCTCCCCCACCACTGCACTTCAGTGACAGGGCCTTTGGTCCTGTGGTCCAGCTGTGCCATCTATCTGCTCAACCTAGCTGGGGAGCTTCCCCAGGGCAGAGTCCTTGTCTCCTTCATCTGAGTGGAGCAAGCCTAGCAGATTGAATGCTCTTTGAGGTCATGGCCCAAATCACCCTATGAGACTGAGGAGCTGGGGTCTGTAACCCCACATCTGATTGAAGAGCCTGTGAGGCCAGCATCTGTGCCTCCCTCATCAGATTGGAGTTTCCTGAGGGCAAGAACTGCAATATGGACCTAGGGAGGAAAGCTTGTTCCCAGAACACGTGGAGGCTGCCTCTGACCTTTGGCTTTGGGCGCAGGTACTGTCTAGGTCTCACTGTCCCCATCTCTGATGGGGCGAATCTTCCCAGCCATCTGTGAAGCTGACAAGAGGGAATCCATGTTAGGTCAACTGACAGCAAAGCTGAGTCTTCCTCTGAATGAAGCTTAAGGCAAAAGCAATAGGTGTCTAGGTCCCTCTTCTCTCCTCCTTCCCCCTCATTTTTCCTCCCTAGGATGAGCAAGCGGGAACTGAGTCACCCCCTTCCCCGTCCTTGGCAGGGATGCTGGTGACCTTGCATGTGGCAGTCTCCTGAGGCGAGGCCCATTGCTCAGAGATGCACGAGGTGGTGGGTGGGTAGGGAAGTGGGGGAAGGGTATGCATGGGGGTGGAGGCAGCTGAAGGTCAGGGGGTGACCAGGGACCTAGATTATCAAGTTGGGTAGCTATAGGGGGTTGTGGGAGACACAGTGAACCAGTTGCTACTGTGTTGGGAAGTGATCCAATGCCATGACTGGGAGTGGGAGAGAGAAATGTTACTTATAGAGAGACTCTGAGTTCCGTGGTACAGCAAGGAGAATGGGGGTGGGGGGTGGGGGGAGTGGGGTGACAGGCAAAGAGAGGCCCAACCAGCCCCACCAGGGAGGAGGCAAGATTGGGCGGGGGTGGCACCTGTCAATTATGCCAAGGTCCTGGAGTGGCAGCTGCCGTCATCCTTAAGGCGTAAATGCCAGAGGAGACCTGGCAGTCAGTAGTCGGGGGCTGGGCTCTGGTTCCTTGGGGGCCCATTTCCTGTCGGCCTGCCAAGCTCAAAAGCTGACCGGATGATCCAAGTGACGGATGCCTACTTCAAAGCTTTCCAGTCCATCATCTCAGGGCCACCTGGCTAGATGGTCCCAAAGGACCAGCTGGCACCTCGCAAACCACAGAGGCTACCCCTGAACCGGCAACATATGTGCTGCAGGAATTTATATCTGTGTCCTGATCCTGGGTCTGTAGTTCATTAGCTGGGTGGCTTTGGGCAAAGGACATCATCTGCCACACCTCCTTAGGTGAAAACCTAGGGATCTACCTACATTGGAGCATTGGGGGGAAAACTAAATGACTTACTCGACAAATATGATTTCTTCTTCCTTTGTTTTTGGATGTGGGCTTGTCAGCTTCAGCCTTGCTCCTGGCGTAGCTGGGTGGAAGGGCCCTGGGCTGGAGGGAGGAGACTCGGCTTCGTGGCCTGGTTCTGCGCCATAATGCATGAGGCAGAGGCCACTAATTGTCCCATAATATGCATTTCCCCTTTTTCCATAGGAATAGAATCCTCAGTGTTCAGCTGGGCATATGGCTACCTGAGATAAATACTACATCCCTCTGCCACTCTTGTACCTAGATGGGGTCCTGTGACTGAGATCTGGCCAGTGAGCCAAAGGGTTATTTGGCAACTTCTAGAAAGACAGTTGATAAGACAGTTGAAAGACAGTTCTCGCTGCCATCTTAGACCATGGGCATAAGAGTCACATCCTGGAAGTGACAGAGCAATGAGTGGGGGGAAGGCTTGGTTGCTGAACGCCTTGTGAAACAGAAAATGTTGTGGACTAGAAACACCATGTTAGCCCTAGGCTGCCTCCCTTCAGACTTTTATGTGAGAGAAAAATCCAATTTCTACCTCATTTAAGCCACTGCGCTTTGGGTCTCCATTTCTTACAGTTACATCTATCACCACCCAACCCAGTGGATGTGTTTCAGTGCTTCCCTTCTGTGGACTCGTTTCCTCATCGGAGAAATGAGCTAATGATCATGTATCTTGCCGCACATCAGAGAGGTCTTATAGGCTTGCGGGCAGGAATGAACTGGGGAGAGCTCTGGTCCTCCCCTCCCCTGCCACCCCCAACCACTCCCTGGCATGGAGGCCCACAATCTCCATTTTTGGAGGTGGAAAGAGTGGCTGCACCATGGCAGGGAGCCCCTGACGGACGGATTCTCCACCCCTTCTGAAAGGCCTCCAGTCCCCAAATTCAACCCCTGCACGTCTGAGTCCCCATCCACATTCTGATGTTGGTGACACACAATCCTCGTTAAGGGCCTGACTGATCCCAGCCAGATGGGATCCTAATTTAATTAAAACCCTTTAATTACCTGCAACAACACAGCTTTGGAAGTCCAATGCAGGAGGGGCCCTGTGATGGGAGGGGAGAGGGCAGGGCAGCACAGTGGTACCTCCACCCGGTGGATACAAACTGCACGTAACAGTCAGCGTGGCCCCTGCCTCTGGCTTGGTCTGCAGCCAGGCGGGGAGCCAGGCCAACCAGGCCCTTGGCTGCAGAGTAGCAGGATCTAGAAACTGACACTGTCAGCATTGGTTTGGTGCTTGCACTGGGACCACCAGAGGCCACAGAAGCTCGGGTCTGAGCTGTCTGAGACCCTGGCCCTGCCCAGGACACTCTGGGTAAGAGCAGGCCTGCTATGGATTCCTCCCGAATTGGTCGGGCTTAAGAAA